TGTAAGGTGTAAGGTGGCGAGGAGGTACAGAGAGTGAATAGTATCATCACTGTTTTGGGAACAAGGAAACAAGCATAAAGAAGCTAAATAACTTGCCCAAGTAAGTGGCAGACCCAGTATTTGAACACAGATTCCAGTGTCTGTGCTTCCTCCCCCAACTTTATTGAGGTGTAATTGACAAGTTATAATATACTTAAAGCATTTAATCAACTGTGTCTGGGTGGCTCAGTTGGTTAAGCATCTGACTTCAGCTCAGGTCATGATCTCCCAATTGGTGAGTTCGAACCCCATTCAGGGTCTGTGCTGACAGCTCAGTGCCTGGAGCCTGCTTCAGATTCTGTGACTCCCTCTCTCTCTGCCCCTCCCCCGCTCGCTTGCGCGCGTGCGCTCTCTCTCTCTCTCTCTCTCTCTCAAAAATAAATAAACGTTACAAAATATACAATGTGATGATTTGACATGTGTATACATTATGAAGGGATTCTTACTATCAAGTTAATTAACACATCCATCACCTCACATATTTACCCTTTTTTTGGCTCAGTGTTTGTGCTCTTAACCACTGTGATATACTTTTTGTAAAAGTCATAGGATCTTAGATGTGATAAGAAATTTAGAGATTATCTAATCTGATCCTTTCAATTTTTTCTCTTTTTTTCCAATTTAAAAAATTTTATTTTATCATGATAAAATATGTACAACATAAAACTTACCATTTTAGTTATTTTTTATGTGTACAGCTCAGTGTCATTTAATACATTCACATTATTATGCAACCATCACCACTGTTCATCTCCAGAACTTTTTCATCTTTCCATATCAAAATTCTGGACCCATTCAATAATAACTCCCTTACCTTCTCCCCCAGGCCCTGGTAATCATCATTCTACCTTCTGTGCCTATTAATTTGACTATTCTAAGTACCTTTATATAAGCAGCATCGTTAAATATTTACATTTTTGTTTTTGGCTTTTTTCACCTTGCATAATGTCTTAAAGATTCATTCATGTTGTAGCATATATCAGAATTCCTTCCTATTTTTATTTTAAGATTTTTTTTTATTATTTTTAAATAATCTCTTCATGCAACATAGGCCTCACGCCCCAAGATCAAGAGTTCATGCTCTAAGGACTGGGCCGGCCAGGCTACCCAGAATTCCCTTCCTTTTTAAAGTCTGAATAATATTTCTTTGTAGATATATCACATTTTGTTTATCGATTCATTAGTTGATAAACAATTAAGTTGTTCCTAATTTTCACTATTTTGAACAATACTTTTATTAACATGGTCATGTAAATATTAAAAGTCTCTGCTTTCAGTTCTTTTCTATGTGTACCCAGAAGGGAAATTGCTGGATCATATGGTAAACCTATGTTTAATTTTCTTGAGGAACTGCCATTTTATATTCCCACCAACAGTATACAGGGGTCCCAATTTCTCCACATCTTGGCTAATACTTTTTTTTCTTTCTTTTTCCCTTCTTCCTCCCTTCCTCCCTCCTTCCCTCCTTCCCTCCCTCCCTCCCTTCCTTCCTTCCAACTTTCCCTCCTTATTTTTTTTATAATGACCATGCAAAGGGTGTGAAATAGTGGGTTTTTTTTTTTAAGTTTATTTTAAGTAATCTCCACACCCTACATGGGGCTTAACCTTATAACCACGAGATCAGGAGTCACATGCTCTTCCAGTTGAGCTATCCAGGTGCCCCTCTGATTGTGGTTTTGACTGGATTTCCCTAATGATTAGTGATGTTTATCATCTTTCCATGTGCTTACTGGCATGTCTTCTTTATAGAAATATCTATTCAAGTCCTTTCCTCATTTTTGAATTGGGTTATTTTCTTGTTGTTGAGTTTTTTTTTTTAAGGAGTTCTTTATATACTGTACATATTAATCCTTTATCAGATAGATGATTTGCACATATTTTCTCCCATTCTGTGGGCTACCTTTATACTTTATCAATAACATCCGCGATGCAGAAATATTTTTAATTTTGATGAAGTACAATTTTTCCTTTTTTCTTTTGTTTCCTGTGCTTTTGTTGTCATAGCCAAGAAATTATTGCCAAATACAGCGTGGTGAAGTTTTTCCTGTATGTGGTCTTCTAAGGGTTTTTTTCATCTTAGGAGTTATGGTTAGGTCTTTGATCGATTTCGAGTTTTTTTTTTTTTTTTTTTTTATGTTCAGTAAAGATCCAACTTCATTCTTTTACCTGTGGATATCCAGTTTTCCCAGCACCATTTGTTGAAAAGACTACCCTTTCCTCATTGAATGGTCTTTGCACCCTTGTTGAAAATCATTTGGCAGTATATGAGAGGGTTTATTTCTGGACTCTGTATTCTGTTTCATTGATTTATATGTCTGTCTTTATGCCAGGACCATATTGCTTTGATTACTGTAGCTTTGTAGTAAATATTGAAATCAGGAAGTGTGAGTCTTCCAGTTTTGTTCTTTTTCAAAATTGTTTTGACTCTTTGGGTTTCCTTGAGATTTCATATACATTTTATAGTTATTTATTTATTTTTAGTAATCACTACACCCAAAGTGGGGTTTGAACTTGAAACCCTGAGAACAGGAGTTGCATGCCCTTCTGACTGAGTCACACAGGTGCCCATTGTATGCATTTTAGGATGGATTTTTCTATTTTTGCAAAATTGTTGGGATTTTGACAAGAATTTCATTGAATGTTTAGATCAGTGAATCTTAATAATAAACATTCTAATCCATGAACATGGAATGTCTTTCCATGTATGTGTATCTTCCTTAAATTCTTTCAGCAATGTGTTGTAGTTTTCATTGTACAAGTCTCATATTTCCTTGGTTAAGTTAATTTCTTAAAGTTTTTAAATTATTTTTCATGCTATTGTAAATGGATTGTTTTGTTATTTCCTTTTCAGATTGTTCATTGTTAATATATAGAAACATAATTGATTTTTGTGTGTTGATTTTTTAACTTTATTTGTTTAAAAAGTTTTTTAATGTTTATTTATTTTTGTGTGTGTGAGAGAGAGAGAAACAGAACATGAGCAGGGGAGGGTCAGAAAGAGAGGGAGACCTAGAATCTGAAACAGGTTCCAGGCTCTGAGCTGTCAGCACAGAGTCCCATGGGGGCTCAAACTCAAGAACCATGGGATCATGACCTGAACTGAAGTAGGACACTTAACCAACTAAGCCACCCAGGTGCCCCTAAGTTTATTTATTTGTTTAGAGAGAGAGAGAGAGAGAGAGAGAGCATGAACAGGAGAGGGGCAGAAAGAGAGGGAGAGAGAGAATCCCAAGTAGGCTCTACACTATCAGTGCAGAGCCTGACTTGAGGCTTGATCTCACAAACCTGAGCTGAAATCAAGAGTGGGATGCTTAACCAGTTGGGCCACCCAGGCACCCCTGTGTGTTGATTTTTGTATTCTGCAACATTAGTGAGTTTATTAGTTCTAGCAGTTGTATTTGTATGGAGACTCTTTAAGATTTTTACATATGAGATCATGTAATCTATGAACAGAGATAATTTTACTTCTTCTTCTCCAGTTTGGATGCCCTCCCCTCTTTTTTTCTTGCTTAAGTGCTCTGGCTAGAATTTCTAATCTTATGTGGCAAAGGCTTGTTCTTTAATCCTATTTTATTTTATTTTTTTTAAATGATTTTTTTTTTTTTAATTTCTAGGAGAGAGAGAGACAGCGTGAGCAGGGGAGGGTCAGAGAGAGAGGGAGTCACAGACTGAAACAGGCTCCAGGCTCTGAGCTGGAAGTCAGCACGGAGCCCGACGCAGGGCTCGAACCCACGAACCGTGAGATCATGACCTAAGCGAAAGTCAGACGCTTAACCGACTAAGCCACCCAGGCGCCCCTCTTTAATCCTATTTTATAAATGTAAAAATGTAGACCCAGAGAAGGGCATTTACTTGCCCGTAGTTTATAGAACGCGTTCTTTTCTTTTAAATACCTTTTTTTAATGTTTATTTAGAGAGAGAGGGAGAGACAGATTGCAAATGGGGAAGGGGCAGAGAGATAGGGATACACAGAATCCAAAGTAGGCTCCATCACAGAGGTTGACATGGGGCTCGAACTCATGAGCTGCAAGATCAGGACCTGAGCTGAAGTTGGACGCTTAACCGACTGAGCCACCCAGGCACCCCCAAGTTCATTTTTTTAAGCTTATTTATTTTTTTGAGACAGAGAGTGCCACATGCAAGTGGTGGAAGGTCAGAGAGAAGGAGAGAGAGAGGGAGGGAGGGAGGGAGAGAACCCAAGCAGGCTCCTCACTGTCAGTGCAGATTCCAACATGGGGTTTGCACTTATGAACCATGAAATCATGACCTGAGTGGAAGTCAAGAGTCGAACACTTAACCAACTGAGCCACCCAGGTGCCCCTATACAACAAGTTCATAGCAAAGCAGGAACTGGTGCTGATTCAGTGGGTTTTTTTATTATTATTTTTAAGCTTTTATTAAGTAATCTTCTACACCTAATGTGGGGCTCAAACTCATGATCTTGAGATCAAGAGTTGCATCCTCTGGGGCACCTGGGTGCCTCAGGCAGTTAAGTGTCCAACTCTTGACTTCAGCTCAGGTTATGATTTCACCGTTCATGGGTTCGAGTCCTGCATTGACAGCACGGAGCCTGCTTTGGTTTCTCTCCCTCTTCTCTCTGCCCCTCCCCTGCTCTCTATTTCTCTTTCAAAATAAATAAGTAAACTTAAAAAAAAAAAAGGTGCATGCTCTTCTGATTGAGCCAACCAGGTGCCCCCTGATCCAGTGTTTTTTCCATCATATTGGGTTGTCAGGAATATAGATAGCTGGTTATGGAAAGGGGAAACATGACTCTCTTATTATGTGATTACCTGAGAATATTTTCACATCAGTATGTCTAATAGATGACAGTGTAGAGAAATTTTAGTGTTCAGATATTTTTTTGCTATATGACTTGTAGCTCCAAATTTTTACATCTGATACATCTAATCTAAGTTTACTTAATTTTCAGAATGTCATTATTCTTCTTTGCATTTCTTCAGTGCAGTTACAATTGGAACTGATATGCTGGAATTGGACTGCCATATCACAAAAGATGAACAAGTTGTAGTGTCACATGATGAGAATCTAAAGAGATCAACTGGAGTCAACGTAAACATCTCTGATCTCAAGTACTGTGTAAGTAGCAATGCATGATAAACCACCATCTAGTAGATATTAGAGCTTGTAAGATTATTAAAAACAATGAATGCCAGATAGTGCTTCAATAAATAATAAAAAATAAATGATGGTGATTAAATAATGACTGTCAAAGGAAATTTTAAAATGAAAAATTTTTAATGTTTTATTTGTTTTGGAGAGAGATAGAGAGACAGCATGAGCAGGGGAGGGCCAAAGGGAGAGGGAGACACAGAATTCGAAGACAGGCTCCAGGCTCTGAGCTAGCTGTCAGCACAGAGCCCTGTGCTGGGTTTGAACCCACGAACCATGAGATAATGACCTGAGCTGAAGTCGGATGCTTAACTGACTGAGCCACCCAGGCGCCCCAAGAAATTTTAAAAACTATTCTAGGGGCACTTGTATAGCTCAGTCACTTAAGCGCCTGACTTCAGCTCAAGTCATAACCTCATGGCTCATGGGTTCAAGCCCTGCGTTGGGCTCTGTGCTGACAGCTCAGAGCCTGGAGCAGGCTTTGGATTCTCTCTCTCTCTCTCTCTCTCTCTCTCCCTCTCTGTCCTTCCCCCACTTATTCTCTCTCTCTCTTTCTCTCAAAAATAAACATTAAAAAAAAAAAAAAGATTCTATCTAACTTCCAGTGAGGATTTGTACTCACTACAGACATCTGTGGATACATCTTTGGAGACTTAACAAAATTACCAAAGTCATCAAATGTAAAACTACTAGAATTCAACTTGCTTGAAGTAGTCTATGATTTATTTGATTCAACTTAAATATATGAATTTGTTTTTAGTCTTCAAAGATAGGAAACCTGATTTTGGTGGTTTACATGCCCGATGTGGGGCTTAAACTCATAAACCACAAGATCATGATCTGAGCTGAAGTCAGACGCTTAGCCGAGCCACACCAGCACCCCAGTAGGATTTATTCTTAATGTTGTACATTCTGTAGGTTTTAACATATAATGACATGTAGGTTTTAATGTATAATGATATGTATCAACTATTGTAAGCGTCATACATAATAATTTCACTGCCCGAAAAGTCCTCGGCCTATTCATCCTTCCTGCCCCCCAACCCCTGGCAACCACTAATCTTTTTATTGACTTCATAGTTTTACCTTTTCCAAAATGTCATATAGTTGGAATTGTATGGTATTTAGCCTTTTCAGATTCCATGCTTATTTTTTCACATTTCAAATGACTACCATTATTCCATTGATTGAATATAGAGTTTTTTAAACCATTCCTCTTCTGTTCTTGGGCATTTGAATTAGTTCTAAGTTTTTTAAAAAAATAAAACAAAGTGTTTAAGGATTCTAAAATCTGGGGCTCCTGTCTCGCTTAGTTAGTAGAGCATGTGATTCTTGATCTCAGGTCATGAATTCAAGCCCTATGTTGGTCATAGAGTTTACCTAAAAAAAAAAAAAAAAAGTAAGAATTAAACAAAACACAACAGGGAATTCCCATTTTGCTGTACCCTTACCTTTACTGAATATTATAACTATACCAAAAATTTCCTAAATTTAAATTTTCATTAGTATTTATTTGTGAGTTTAAAAATGTTTCTGTATGATTGTCATTTTTTAAAATTGTCTATTCTTGGGGCCCCTGCGTGGCTCAGTTGGTTAAGCGTCTGACTTCTACTTAGGTCATGATCTCGCAGTTTGTGAGTTCGAGCCCTTCGTCGGGCTCTGTGCAGACAGCTCAGAGCCTGGAGCCTATTTCAGATTCTCTGTCTCCAGGTCCCTCTGCCCCTCCCCGACTCGTGCTCTGTAGCTCTCTCTCTCTCTCTCAATAATACATAAACATAAAAAAAGGGGGGGCCTTAAAAAAAATAAAAATAAATAAAATTGTTTATTATTGACACTTGTTTATTGAGATATTTGTATTCTTAGTATTGAGAAAAGGCCCATATATTTTTTTAATTTTTTTTTAATGTTTTTTATTTATTTCTAGGAGAGAGAAAGACAGCGTGAGCAGGGGAGGGTCAGAGAGAGAGGGAGACACAGACTCTGAAACAGGCTCCAGGCTCTGAGCTGGCAGTCAGCACAGAGCCCGACGCGGGGCTCGAACCCACGAACTGCGAGATCATGACCTAAGCAAAAGTCGGACGCTTAACCGACTAAGCCACCCAGGCGCCCCGAGAAAAGGCCCATATTAAATAGTATAGATTTCTTATAAGTTGAGAAAGTAAGAAGTTATATGATTGATTTGCTCTTTGAGATGCTCTGCTAAAGAGTACCCTCTGTAAACATACGTAATGTTTAATTCTTTTATTTTTAGAAGAAGCAAATCTTTATCTTAATGTAAGACACTAAAATACTTTAAAAAATTTTTTAAATACTTTAAAATTTTGAGAACTAACTTTTTTTTCAATTACCTCTTTTAAAGGAACTCCCACCTTACCTTGGCAAACTGGATGTCACATTTCAAAGAGGTAATATTTCCCATTTGCAGTTTAAACATTTACAGTAGAGTGTATTTATTTATACTGAGAATTAGATAGACATGTTTGTTCTCTTGACATAGTAAATTCCAGCTAAAATTACTGCCCTCAATACTTGGTCTCTCAGACCTACAGATCTGAAATCTTGGTCCTGAGATGAGGAAGGCCAAAGATTTTTTTCTTTTTTTTTTTTTTTTTTACAAATAGTTTATTGTCAGGTTGGTTTCCATATATCACCCAGTGCTCATCCCCACAAGTGCCCCCCTCCATGCCCATCTCCCCCCTTCTCCCCATCAGCCCTTAGTTTGTTCTCAGCATTCAAGACTCTCTCATGGTTTGCCTCTCTCCCTTTCCCCCACCATTTCCCCCCTTCTTCTCCGCCATGGTCCTCCATTAAGTTCCTCCTAATCCTCCTATACGTGCAAATATATGATATTTGTCCTTCTCTGCCTGACTTATTTTGCTCAACATTACACCCTCAAGGTCCATCCATGTTGCTACACATGGCCAGATTTCATTCTTTCTCATTGAGGAAGGCCAAAGATTTAACTGGTTCATTCTATTTAAATTTATGTACAGGTAATTTAAGCTTGAATATTTAAATTAAAAAAAAATCCTGAATACTAATTATAAGAAACCCAGATACTATTAGAATGGTTTACATTTCATAAGCTTCAAATTATAGCTTACTGTAATTTGTAGCAATAATCCATCATGAGTACAAACAATAAATGAAAAGACATTGAAAAGGACCCCTTTCAGATCATTACTGATTCTATAACATTTGATTTTATGACATTTCACTGCTCCCTATATTATTTTATTAAAGAGAATTCTACTCAAATAAACCACCCATTTCCTGGTCATCTCCGCTTTTTAATCACTAGCATAGCAGTTTTCCCTTTTTTGAGGGAATACTTCTCACAAAGGAACATGTATGTCCCTTGGCCCAGTTTGTTAGATTTGTTACAATGGAAGATAGACTACCTGGAGATACAGGTTGCAGGTACAGGCACCAACACTATCATAGTTCAGTCTCATGTTTTGAATGATTCAGATGAGATCGGGCGCGTTCAGGGTGGTACGGCCGTAGACTCATGTTTTGAATGATTCAAATGTAACTCAGTAAAACTATAAGATGCTGCATGTTATGGTCCTTTGTATGGAATGGCTTGTATATAGTTAAAACCTTGGTTAATATCAAGGGTCTATTGATACTAATATTCAAAACGAAATGTAACTACTTTCTTAACTAGATTTAAAATTGGCCAGTGTAATTTCTTCTTGATTGGAAAAATTTAGAAGCCAAATAAAAATCAGAAAATTGTTTAAATTAGCTCTCTCTAAAAGATGTTTCGATCTGAAAGTGGTTTGATTTTTACTTTCCAAGAAAGTATCATTAAGCTGTATTGGTTTGAGGAAACAATTTTTGAATTCTTGTAACTTAATAAGATTATACTTGCCAAGCTATTATATTTGTGTCCATTGTGGATTTGTGACGGTTAAAAACATTTTAGGGGCGCCTGGGTGGCTTAGTCGGTTAAGCGTCCGACTTTCGCTTAGGTCATGATCTCACAGTTCGTGGGTTCGAGCCCCGCGTCGGGCTCTGTGCTGACTGTCAGCTCAGAGCCTGGAGCCTGTTTCGGATTCTGTGACTCCCTCTCTCTGTGACCCTCCCCTGCTCATGCTGTCTCTCTCTCTCCTAGAAATAAATAAAACATAAAAAAAAAAAAAAAAATTTCAGAAGTGAAATGTTATGTTGTTTTTTTTTCTGTTTTTGTTGTCTTTTTTTCCGTTCATAGAGCAAAGCCAAAACCTCACAAAGCTTAAAATATCTTTTCATTTTTTTTCAGCTTTTATTCCTTTCTTTCTTTTTTTTTTGAGTTTTTATTTATATACCTTTCTCATAAAGTCATAAAACATTTGAATATGCAGTGACCTTTGAGACTGTATAATTCTATCTCTTCCTGTTATAAATAAGGAAACGGAGGCATAAGGATGTAAATTAACTTGATTAAGGGCATACAACAGATAAATGACAGAGCTAGTACTTGAAACTAGGCCTTCTAACCAGGTCAGTGTTCAGCTGCACTATACTGCCTCTCCTTCTAAAGAATCTCTTTTTTTTTTCCTTAAGATTTTTAATGTTTATTTATTTATTTAAAAATTTTTTAATGTTTTTATTTATTTCTGAGAGAGAGAGAGACAGTGTGAGCAGGAGAGGGTCAGAGAGAGAGGGAGATACAGAATCTGAAACAGGCTCCAGGCTCTGAGCTAGCTGTCAGCACAGAGCCCGATGCAGGGCTCAAACCCAGGAACTGTGAGATCATGACCTGAGCCAATGTCTTTCTACGAGATGTTTGTAATGATTTCATATTTTACAACATTTGTTTACCATATTTTGATATACCATTTTTTCTATCTGCCAGGTTTTCTTAAAAAAAACTATATATTATTTTCTAAAGAAACAGTCATATTTTTATACAAAATTAAGTTTTCAGGTAACAAAGAAATAGATTTAGGGTACAGCAGAACGTGCAGTGTGCCCTGGGGGTGGGGGTGGGGTCAGTATTCTGAGCACAGGGGGAGGGCGGACAAGCCCCACCTGTGCTGCCCTGGGCCACCTGTGTGGGCACTGCAAGCCCGGTCAAATCAGTTCCACCCGACACTTGGAAAAAGGAACGGAAGTTGTCTAGAGTTTTGTAGTCATGCAATTATTTCGCTTTTATCAAAAGTTTTAAAAGAACCAAAGTTTTCAGATATCAGAATGTACGAGTGTCTCTGTCTTCTATGTGAAAGGGTAGAAGGATCATCTGAAGACGGCTGCCCTTAAAAGTAAGTCGTTAAATAGGCCGCCATTTCTTACAGATGCTTCAGAGACACATCCTAGGAAGTTTAACTCTCAAGAGCCCAGATCATAATGCGGTGCATTTCCTCGGCTCTTAGTGTTTCTTGCAAACACCGAGGCAAAAGCATATTTAATTAAGTATGGAGCGCTTTATTTTCTCTGTCCTTCAACCGGAATCAGGTCTTCAGGGTTTCGCCAGCATTGTTGGTGGGTTTGCACACTCTCTCTAATTGGGTTTATGAATAGTCTTGTGGGTTTTCAAAAATGAAACATGCTAGGGAACATTTTTTTGCTTCTTGATCCTCTCTTTGCAGCAGAATTATATATATGTATATGAAAATCCATTTTGGTTATCTACATTTTGTATTTGGAAATTGTTTTAAAAAATAAAAAAGGAAAAGAAACATAAAAAAAAATGCTTAACCGACTGAGCCACCCAGGTGTCCCAATGTTTATTTATTTTTAAGAGAGAGAGACAGCCAGACAGAGGGCAAGCGAGCCTAGAGAGAGGGAGACACAGAATCTGAAGCAGGCTCCAGGCTTTGAGCTGTCAGCAAAGAACCCCATGCAGGGCTTGAACTCATGAACTGTGAGATCATGACCTGAGCCAAAGTCAGACACTCAACCGACTGAGCCACTCAGTCATTCCTAAAGAGTCTTTCTTTCACTCTTTTTTTAATGTTTATTTATTTATTTTGAGAGAGAGAGAGCAAGCAGGGGAGGGGCAGAGAGAGAGGGAGACAGAGACTCTGAAGCAGGCTCTGGGGCTGTCAGTGCAGAGCCAGATGCAGAGCTTGAACTCACAAACTGAGATGTCATGACCTGTGCTGAAATCAAGAGTCAGATGCTTAACTAGCCACCCAGGCACCCTAAAGAGTCTCTTCTAATGCCTTATTAATAGCAATGCCATGTACATTCAAGTTTCAGACAGCTGTAAAGAATAATTAATTTTCATTCATATTATATTCAGTTCATATCACAGTTAACTTAAGACTGCCTTAAATGTGAAATTTACTGCTTTTAAACTAATATACAATACTTGACTCAGATTAGGTAGTTGTTCCTTTCTGTGTGTGTGTGTGTGTGTGTCTGTCCGTGTCCTATTCCCCTCCTCAGAATTCTGGCTTTTCTTTTTTCTTTTTTTTAATGTTTATTTATTTTTGAGAGACAGAGCATGAGCAGGGGAGGGGTAGAGAGAGTAGAGAGAGAGAGAGAGAGACACAGAGTCCGAAGCAGGCTCCAGGCTCTGAGCTGTCAGCACATAACCTGACACAGGGCTCAAACTCAATAAGCCATGAAATAATGACCTGAGCAAGTTGGACGCTTAACCGACTGAACCACCCAGGCACCCCTTACTTTTCTTTAAATACTAGAGAGAGAGAGAGAGAGAGATTTTCCGCTCTCAAAGGAGTACAGATTTTAGGCCTCTTGCTTTCTTTGTGATTCACAGTTTTACCGGAGAAGGTAACAGTGCTTTGACTTACAACAGGCTACATTAAAAAATAAATGTAAAGAAAGAATATAAAATGTGTTAAACAAAGGGTTTGTTATTATCTATCCTGTTTACTTGAAAGTAGACTTTTTTTCATGGAAAATACATATTCTGGATAATCTAGGTTGGTCAGAATGATCAGTTTAAAAGCTCTTGCATGTTTATAAGAGGCCACTTCACTCGTCCCCTCACCCAGTACATCCTGTGCCTTACTCCTTGCCTATCACTCTAGTTTCCCTCTTTCCCTTTCTCTAGTATTTCCAGGTGGTTATCTTCTGTCCAGAACAATACTGGGGACAAACTTGTTTCCCCAACGCATTTTCTATATTCTGTGCTAGTTGAGGCATTAATTTAAATATTTTCACATCACTTTAGCATACTTTTTTCTTTTAGTTATTAATGTAACTTAAAAATCCTTGTTTCTTTTTTTTTTAAGTTTATTTATTTATTTTGAGAGAAAGAGAGCAAGTAGGGTAAGGGCAAAGAGAGGAGGGAGAGAGAGAATCCCAACCAGGCTCTGCACTGTCAGCACAGAGCCCAGTGTGGGGCTTGAACCCACAAACTGTGAGATCATGACTTGAGCTGAAATCACGAGTCAGATACTTAGCTGACTATGCCACTCAGGCTCCCCTAAGTTCCTTGTTTCTCCCA